AAATACAGAACCTTCCCTGGGAGGTCCCTTCACCACGTACAGGAATCCACGTCGAGGGGCAAACCTGAGAAACCTTCATAGGTTGAGAAAAGAATCCATTGTAAAGAGAGGAGGATCTCAAATTTTGTTGAAACGAGACAGTTCAATGATTGGACGCTAATCTCCTGTCTTGTTGGGTACCACAAATAAACAAAAAGAAAATCCCAGAAGAATGGGATCGACCCCTCTCTCCTGTCTTTTTTGATTAACAATGCTCTTATGGCCTGGAAATGAAGCTTCACTCGCCATAGATCTGTTGGAGGTAAAAAGGCAACAGGTTGAAGAGACAATGAAGGAGGTAATATAAATTAAATGACCAACCTTGAAGCCAGAACATGGAGTACCCATGGATACCTGGTGAAAGAACTCCAGATGTCTAGGAAGTAGTGTAATCGTGCTCCTACTTCTCCCCCACCCCGGGATAGTCACATACGCCGTTGTCATTGATCTGCTCGAGCCGAAGATCCTCAAGATTACGGATGGACCCTATTAAGGGAACCAATACACCTGGGAATCAAAAGAGATCCATGTTATGTAAGCTGCTAGTAACATCCATGTTATGTAAGCTGTTAGTTAACATTCATGTTATGTAAGCTGTTAGTTAACATCCATGTTATGTAAGCTGTTAGTTAACATCCAAGTCATGTAACACAAGTATCTACATATATATAACTAGTTACTTCCCATGTTTTTTAAGAACATCATTCATATTTAAGTGGCTTTATAGTTAATCACATATTATTTTCAACCACTGATTTTCATTCAAACTTCTAGTTAAGCCTATGTGGTATAAAACCACTAATTATCATGTAAACTGCTAGTTATGCCTATGTTGTATAAAAATCACTAATTATCATGTAAACTGCTAGTTATGCCCATGTTGTATAAAAATCACTGATTATCATGTAAACTGGTACTTAAGCCTGTGTTCTATAAGAACCAATGAAAACTGCTACTTAAGCCTATGTTGCATAAGAACCACCAACTATCAAGTAAACCACTACTTAAACCTATTTTATGTAAAAACCAATGGAAACTTCTATTTAAGCTTATTTTTTAAAGAATATAAGCTCCTAATTAAGTATATGTCACAAATGAATTATCATTTAATACACTTGGACAATGTATGTTGAAATACCCAAATTTTCATTTAGCTTGTTCTAAAAGTAAACAAAAAATGGCCAAAAGAAAAAAAAAATTTCAAAGCAATCTTGGCTGAAAATGGTTAGTGGTATTCTACATTTTATGGTAAATTCTAGTATATTTTCACTGGGCAATAGAATATATATTTACTTAGATATTTCAGTCATCATTTTACTATATGTTATAAGTGGTACAGTTGCAGTGCTCAGTTTTAGTTTTATTTCCAAAATTCTGGACCATCAGGAGCAACTTCCTTCCCACAAGTGGCTAACAAAATGAATGTTAAGTTTAGATTTCAGAGGTTATATAACTGAGTCCCCACTTCTGCTCCTAATTTACAGTTTCACTTCATACGTAAGGCTAACAGACAGATAATATATATCTATCATTGTGAGTTTTACTTCAACAGATACCTTTCTCACTAGAATATACAATACAACATTCCCATTCTGTAATTTATACAGCAGTTTTATTTGCCTGTCATTCGAAATGTGCAATGCTCTTTGTTTTAACTTCATTATTTTAAATTAATAAATCATCTAAGTTATAGAGGTCTTGTCATGTTACACTCTCTTTCTGTATAACAACCAGAAAAACAATTAAAACTACAAAGTTTTTGGACCAATTAACAGTGAAGTTTAAGAACAAAAAACAAATAACCTTCAGTGGGTTAAGCTATTTATTTAAACTCTGAGAACTCATCAGCATAATAAGAATTTGACATTTACTGGAATTAGATATTGAAAAGTACAACTTTACCTATTGGCTTGAATTTCAGTACGAAATGTTTTTCCATGTATATACAGTACAAATTTATTAACATCCAATAAAGTCAAGGCATTATCTACAGTTTCTCCTGTCTTCAAGTTCGTATAAGCATAGGACAGTGGTGTCCCTCTGTTAGCTTTATCATGTGTTTTCATCCAGAAGGCTACAGTTACTGCATAAAGATGATGATTGGAAAGTACATCAACAAAATTAGAAGTCAAGGCCAAAGGAAAGTTGATGTAAAATTCATGTGGTAGAACTGCAATGAAAACAGGAAATTTTTAGCAAATAAAATTCATGTGACTGAACTGTAAAAAAGGCTGGGAATATTTTAGTTGATATAAGTCACTGATACAAATAGAAAAATGTTTAGTTAGCATAATTCATGTAGTAAAACTGAAACAAAAACAGGAAATAATTTAGTTCATATATTTCAGCTGTGTAAAATTTATCAACTTGAATAAATTGTTTTATTTTGCTTCTTAAATGGAGATAACTACATTCTTATAAGACCACTACATGTACAAATGCTTACTTCTTAATATTTCTTTAGTAGGAAAGGTACAAACTTAACTATGGTGTGAGATTTAATACATTTATGCAGTAATAGAGACATAGGGAACATGCTCAATTAAAGTTATTATTTAGTTTCTGTTTTCCTAATCAATTCTATAAATGATTCACCTGAATTACACAGATCTCCAGTAAAAGGAGGAGTACAGTTACAAGTGAAGGAGTCCACACCATCCACACACAATCCTCCATTGAGACAGGGATTGGATAAACATTCATCAATGTTTACTTGACAGACTGTTCCTTCAAAACCTTTCTTGCATTTACACTCAAACCCTTCTAATGTGCTCACACAAGTTGCTCCATTTTTACATGGCAAATCTTCACACTTGTTGATTGGTTTTTCACACAATTTCCCTGTGAAACCTTTTGGACAACAGCACTGAAAATCCTAAAATGTAATAATATTACAAGTCAGATACATTTTATTTACCAAACTAATCAGATAAAATAATAAAGCTTTATGTGAATACTCACTTTAATATAACTTTATGCTAAAATTTAGTACAGATTAATTCTTATTTTATTTCTCAATTACCCTTCATCAGGTGAATATGGACTAAGTAAACTAAAAAGAAAGAATCTATCCAATAGTGTTCATTTAGTGAAATATTTCAGTGGTAAGCTAAGAAACAGAATGTAGTTAACTTTATGAAATAGTACTGTGATATACTGAACAGCATGACATAGTTCAAATTGTGAAATAGTTCAGTGATAACATAAGAAGCAGAATGTAGTATACTTCATGAAAGAGTTCAGAGATAACCTGAGAAGCAGGATGTAGTATACTTCACAAAATAGTTCAGTGATATCATGAGAAGCAGGATTTAGTATACTTAACAAAATAGTTCAGTGATATCATAAGAAGCAGGATGTAGTATACTTCACAAAATAGTTCAGTGATATCATGAGAAGCAG